AGATATGTAGATATAAACAGATATAGCTGACAGACATACACACAAATAGTTAGAAAGATAGATAGTTACATACACGCACGTCCGCCCTGATACATACATACATATACATATGTACACACACACACATATATATATATATATATATATATATATATATATATATATATATATACATGTATGTATGTATGTATGTATTTAATTAAGAAGTTCCAAATAAACAGATTGTGGTATATAGATATGAATAAAGGGATAGATAGATAGATAGATAGATAGATAGATACGAATATATATATATATATATATATATATATATATATATATATATATATATATATGTTTCAAACAATTTAAAAATTTAAATTATATTGAGTCAGAGGAATAGAGATAGGAACATATGGAAGAATTCTTACTAAGAAAAACATAGTTGATTAACGAACTTGCTAGCTCGCCCAATACTTTGCGATATATATATATATATATATATATATATATATATATATATATATATATATATATATATATATATATATACGGACGGATAGAACCATATGGTAAAAAAGACAATTCACCTTTTAATATATTGAGTTATGAAAGAAAAAATATAAAGAGAAATTTAAACGAACACAAAGGAACTGGTAGACAGTCGTGATATATAAAAGCACTTTTTTGTTATGCACAGGAAGATATTTGTAGAAATAAATATCAAATCGAATTTGATCGTGGAAAATTACGAGACCTAGGTATGTATTCTTTAACAAGTGCGTGGATCTTAAGTACTTGTGTGGAATTCTGGTCGTATTGAAACCAAGGCTCTTCTAATGCTCTCCAATAGCTGGAACAAAGACTAGGACAAAAAAACCAATAAAACACAAACATAATATATATATATATATATATATATATATATATATATATATATATATATATATATATATATATATATATATATATATATATGTGGGTGAGTGTATTGAGACGCGAATGACAACATCAGGACTAACTTATTGAGTGTGTGTTCTTCTTTGCCGGTTTCAGCGTACATTTAAAAACATGACGGCCAGTGGTTCATATAAATTTAGTGAGAATGCCCCCCACCCCAACAACAAGCGTCGACCGACTACTAAATAAAACCCTTTAACAAACGCGACTTGCATTCGTTGTCAATCTGATACAAACTACACGCATATAATATAGGCCGCCGCACACACACACATAATATAGGCCGCCGCACACACACACATATACACACAGGTATATGTATATGTGCGTGTGTGTGGCAAATGTTTTTAGAACATGCGTCGTTGTTGCTGTTGTTATTATTATTATTATTAATATTATTATTATTATTATCGGTATAATAATTTTTATTTTTGTGCAAATTCCTTAATTGCGAGCGAAACGCCAATTTGTAACAATTTCCCCAAATCTTTATTTCTTTCGTCTTAAGCAACACAGTAAGATGTTTTCAATCTAAGCCGGCCTCGCCGAAAACAGATACTTGCCTTCCAGTACATTTCTAGGCTGAATACGATTTTTATGTTGGGTTCCCCAGACATGTGGCTTACGAATGAAACGCTTTTCGTTGTATCATATATTATTATTATTGTCCTTTGTATCCTGCTTGATAGAAATGTATCATTGCCCGCAACGCAAAGTAAAATAAGGTAGCAAATATATGTATTCTACTTGCACAGATCCTGACGTCAAGGGATACACAAAATGTTGTACAGTGTTTATATTTTATTCAAGTTGATAACCCTCTCTTGATTTTATAAACAATTCGACAGGGTGTCATTTATTTTTAATCAGTAAACAGGCTCTACCTGAAATCATAATAATGATCTTGTGTGTTTTATTTTTTGATTGTACCTTGCCTATAATTAGGTACAACAATAATTTTAACTTGCGAATTTCAATTTCAAGTAACTTGTATTTTTACATAATTCGTCTTTATTTTTATACGAGTATATAGTTTTATTTCTATGATAGCTGTAGCATATGTTTGAGAAGGACTTGATAGATCTTTTCTCCTTCTTCTTCTTCTTCTTCTTCTTTTATTATTATTATTATTATTATCATTATTATTATTAATTTGTTTTTTTTTTTTTATCTTGGTTTTTCATTGACGTCGACGCCGGGAATTATAAGAAAAAAAAACTTTAAAGATCTTACGACAAATGCCCTTTCAAAGGAAGCACATCATTTTTATGACACTTTACCAAACAATGCTATGCATTTCTGAAGTTAGCGATATTTCTGACAAGTAAAAGAATCAATTATAAATTATTTCCCGAAAATATAATTAAAAAGAAACAAACAAAGAACAACATTACAGATTACTACAAGTAGCAGTCACATTGGTATATCTGAAAATGAAACAATATTTCCACATTTCCAAAGCTACATAAAAAGGCATGCACCTCAAATTTCTTTCGTCGATAAAAACTGGTAAGAAATAAAACAAAAACTGACAGTGAGAGTGAATATATATACATACATA